AATCTCAGACTTCTGCTCTTCAGCTCATACATTTTATTCCAAAAAGCACTTGGAAATCTTAAAAAAAAAAGAAAGAAAGAAAGATTCATGGCTGCTGCAAGTCTAACACACTGTTAATAAAAGTGGTCTATTAAAACAAATTGCTCGGGATGATCATTCTGCTAAAATCAATATCTTCAAATAATAAAGCGAATACGCGGTGCACACACAGGCAAACCATCTGCTGGAGGGTTTTCTGGCTGGGACTTTCACTCTGAGGCTGCTGCGGGATGGAGGGAAGGCGATGCTCTTCTCTGCCTCCTCGGCCATTGGCAGCGCTGCGACCCCGCTGCAGGGGCAGGCTGCAAATCCGAGCCGGAGCCCCTGGGGAATATTCGGAATATTCGGAATATTCTCCTGGAGCGAGTCAGGAGGAACTGCCTGGAAAAACAAGGCGAGAAGGAGCAGGGAGGGGATGCTTTTCCCGGCCGCAGGAGCAGGAGTTTTTGGGTGGGAGAATGGAATTCTGGCACAGGATGGGCATGGAGGCGGGAGATGCTCGGCTGGAAGCGCCGCAGTGACCTGGGAAGAGTTGGGGCAGCAGAGGCAGGAAACCAGCGAGGCTGCCCCAGCTCCAGGGCTAAATAAAGCCCTTTGTTGTCCTGGGAAGGAATCCCTCCTGGATTTCGGACGGGAAGAAGGAGGTCCCTGGAGATGCTATCTCCTCATCAGCATGGCAAAAACTCAGCTGAGGGCACACGAAAATCCATCAACAGCCCTGAAACTCACCCAAAAACCCCCTCAAATTGTGGTTTTGGTGCTGAGGGGGGAAAGGCTCTCACTGAAGTCCTGGGAATGCCTGGAGGAGAAAAAAAGAAGGATTCAGGGAGACCTCTCAGGATCTTTTGTGCTTCAGGACACTCTGGTGCAGAAATTGAGGCAGCAGCCTCTCCAGAGCTGCCTTTCCACAAAGGATGCCCTGGCAGGAGCCTTGGGATGGAGGTTCTGAAGGAAATTTCCTGCCCCCAGAGTTACAAGATAATTACACCACCGTGCAAATCCCAGCACGAGAAAAACAATGGGTGACAAGTTTTTAAGGAATTCACAATAAGGATGATGCTGCCGGGGCAGCTTTGGGGCTCTTGGCCCTTTTTTAGGTGAATCCCATCTGTTCATCCCTCAGGAACTGAGTCCCATCCGTCCATCCCTCAGGAATTGCCTGCTCAGGGCAGAGTTTGTGCTCTCTTGCAGACAACCAAAGGTTCCAGGAAGGAAAGGACCAGGATTTGGTGCTGCACCAAAGCGGATGTGATCCCAACAGCATTTTCCTAGGAGAAACAACCCAAACTTCACTAAATCCCATTTTTTTTGCAGCTCCATGCTCTGCTTGGCTGCCCACCATCCCCAAAGCTGGATCTCCTCCTGCAGCATCTCGTCCTCCTCCTCCATCAGCAGTTTTTGGGGGCTGAGCGTGCTGGGTGTAGGGGAGGGGAGTCATTTCCAGAAGGAGCTGCTCTGTCTGGGAATGGGGCAGTCTGCCGAGGGTTGGGATGCTGAATTTGTGTCTTTTGGGGTTTCCCCGTGCTGTGGCCCTGCTCCAAGTGCCTCCACGTGCCTCTGGAAGTGCTGTGGAGAGTTATTGCTCCTTCAGTTTAAGTGGGAAAGTTATTAAAATGCTTTGAAACACAACTGGCACTGGGGAGGTGGGTGTAAGGCTGATTTATTTGATGTGCTTTTGCACAGAAATAACCCTCCAACACTGCACATCCTCCAGGTCAGCAGTGCTGCTGCCTTGGGACGATGGTGGGAATGGGATTATTTCATCTGTCCGAAATAGTAACTTCTGAGAGGTGAGGAAATGACTACACCAAAACCATTGTGTGCCATCTGCCTGCTAAAATACTTATAGAAAACATGTTTCCTGGCATATAGCTTCCCAGCCATATGTCTATTGCATCATTCACAATTAAATTAAATCACCCTTAAACGCTTGGACAAAATCCCAGCCCGTGTGAGCGAGCCTTCATCGCTGTGCTGCACAAAAATTTGGACACTTGATCCCCGAAATGTTGGGTTGGAATTGGCTCAGGCGTTGTTAACCTGATACAGCTGATGCTGAGTGCTGCGAGATAATTTGAGGGCATGTTCCTTATTGTGGTCTTGCAGTTTCTGGCTATAAAAATGTGTTGGGGCTCTGGGAGAAAGGAAAGAATTCTGCAGGATTTGCTCACAACACGCTCGAGTCAGTTGTGTCCACGGGAAAAGCTGGCGTCTCCTACTCATGGAATCAACAGAAGGGCTGGAGGGCCTGGTCACAGCTGGAGTTTTGGGATGTTTAGGATATGTTCAGAGCTGTGTGCACAGAAACACCCAACAACAAAGCCTGGCCTGCTCTGTGTTAGGCTGGGTCAGATTTTTGTCAGCTCTGGGGGGAGGAGGGTCCCACTGCCACCTCTGCCGTGTGCCCAGCACAGCAATTCCTGTGCCACAGGAATGGCCAGGATGGATGGCAGCATCCCTAAATCTGCCCTAAATCATCCCTAAATCCATCAGACGATTCCTATCCTCTGAGGGCAGTGCATTCAGTTAAAGGATAATCTTAATAAATCACTTATTTTGTGGGTTTGTGGCTCTTCCTTTGAGGAAATGTTGGATTTCCCTGTGCTTAGCTGAGCCACTCTCCCAAAAGCAGTTCTGTGGGATGCTCTGACAGGGGTAGTGCATAAATAGGAATGAAATCCCACATCTCTGACACAGGGAATGTCGTTCCAGCCCAAACCAGCTCCCACTGGAGCACAAACCCACGAGCTCCCCATGCACGGTGTCTGCCAGACCCGGCCACGGCCTATTTTAGTCCAGCTCTCTATTTCTGGGCTGGTTTTAAAGGTGACACAAACCCAGCAGCCAAAGCTGGATGATCCCCTTGGTTCCTTTCATCCAGGAGCAGCCTGGGCTGTGGAAAGTGTCCCTGTCCCCAGCAGGGTGCAATGAGATGTCTTTCATGTCCTTTCCAACCCCAGCCACTCTGTGCCTCTAGCACTTTGATTTTCAGTCATGCTATTCAACCCAAATTCTCACTTTCATGGACAAAAACATATCTGTTATTTAAATAAGAATCTTGTCTCGCTCTGCCTTTCACATCTCGTCTCTGAATTCATTTTCTGGGCTGCTATGCAATGTAAAACCTGGTTACACACTGAGTCAGGCGCTTCCCAATGCGTGCGTCGTGTTTGAGGGAGGAAAAAGGGGAAAAAAGGGAAAATTCTTGGTGGGAGGTGCTGGAGTCAGCAGGGCTGTGCCCACACTCATGTTTTAGACCATATTTTACCTGGATATTTTGGCCTTTCGTAGAGCTGTGTGTCTCTGTCAGCCAGTAATAGATTACTGAACATAACAGAAATCTTTATATAGATGTTGGAGCCCTTTGCTGAGCTACAGATGTTTCCTTCCAAGAAACATTTTCCTGACACAGAATCAGAGAAGGCTTTGAGTTGGAAGGGACATTTAAACATCCTCTCATCCAAATCCTGTACTATGCTAAAAGCAAAAGCTACTGGAATTTTGTCCTACAATAAATGTGGAAATACCGTTTGAGGGTTTCTTTGTAGGTAACACCATCCTGTTCTTTCTTTTGTGTTTTTTAATCCTTTTCTGGCTGAAGCCAAATGATGGCCATTCCTGCCCAGGGCAGGGGCTTGCAATGAGTTTTTAGGTCCCTTAAAACCCAGAGCAGTTTCTGTGATTCTGTGACTGTAGAAGTGTTACAGGAGCATCCAGGAAAAGAAAACACATTGAGTAAGAGCTTCCTCATCCTTCTTTCCAGAGCTTTCTTTCCTGTCCACCTCATTTTTCAATTTCCTGTTCCCAATGACTCCTTCAGTCACCTCGTCACCCAGCTGTAAAAGAAAAGATGGAATTAATGCTGAACTGGAGTTGAGTTTCCCAAGTGTTCATCTTTTATTTTTTTATACCCAAAGGCTATTTGACTCCCAGACAGGTTTGGGTTGGAAGGGATATTAAGGATCCTCTCGTTCCACCCCCTGCCATGGGCAGGAACACTTTCCCCTATCCCAGCTGCTCCAAATCCCATCCAGGCTGGCCTGGAACCCTGCAGGGATGGACACCCCAGGTGAGGACACAGAGCATCCCTCCTCCTGCCCTTCCTGAGCTGCTCCCACGTGTGTCCGCAGGCACTGAGGAGCCAGAGCCAAGTTTCCCACTGGCTGGGGCTGAGCCTGGCAATAAAAGTGCAGCCAGAGCTCTGAGCTGCTCCCAGGGCTCCCACAAAGCTTTCCTGAGGAGCTCGGGGTGGTTCCTGCTCTCCCATCCCGCTCCTGCTCCGGGTTTAACACGGAATCTCTCGCCTCTGGGTTTTCCTCTGCCCCAGACCTCTCTGAGCCATCTCCTTGGCTGGAGTCAATTTAGCGGAGCTAATGGAGTTTCTTCTCCTCAGCTCAGCGATGATTTCACATCCCTGAGTTCCTTGCTTAATTTGCTGAGAAAATTTCTGATTCTGAAGCCATTTCCAGCATTGCCCTGTTTTTCACAGTGCCAGGACCACGCCAGGGGCTCGCTGGGCTGCACCTGGGTTTCCCCACATCCCTGCTCGGGATGCAGCTCCTGCATCCAGCTGCAGTTCCTGAATCCAACTGCAGTTCCTGCATCCAGCTGCAGCAACTGCATCCTGCTGCAGCTCCCACATCCAGCTTCAGTTCCTGCATCCAGCTGCAGCAACTGCATCCTGCTGCAGCTCCCACATCCAGCTTCAGTTCCCGCATCCAGCTGCACCAGGCTGCGTCCCTGCCCTCCCTTGGACAGGAAAGCAGCAGCTCTCAGGAAAGAGTTAATCCCAGCGAGCCTTTGGGATCCTTTGCTGGGGAGAGGGCTGATCTTTTGTTTGTTTTGAAGCTGCTGGCAGGAAAGCGGGGAGGAGAAAATTACCTAAGTGATAGTGAGGTTGCCATGAACTATATAAAACTGGGAAATCAAAGCGGAGAAACTCCACCTCGCAGTCCTGAGCCACAAGCACAACCCCTGAAGTAGAAACCCACCCCACAAGTGAGTGATCTCAAAGGCTTCTTGAACTCCAACCAAGCTGCATGAGCTCAGAGCTGCTGCGGGAGTGAGGAGCCGGCGCTGGCCCGGCCGGACCCGCTGCTCCGGGGCAGGGAAGGTTTTTGGGCTTCTGGCAATCCCCACAGCCATGAAGTGGAGGTTCCTGTGCATCGCCTGCCTGCTGGAGCTGGCTGGTGAGTACTGACGCCCCAAAGCCCGCTCACAGCAGGGACCGGCCCTGGGGCAGCTCCTGGGAGCAGCAGCCGGGGGGAAGATGCTTCTCCTCCAGGAGTTTGGGATTCTGGGCCACCCAAAAACCTCCCTGCTGCTCTGAGCGGGGCAGCAGTGGGGATGGAGACTCCTGCAAACCCCCAGATAACCCAGGGGATGGGAGAGCAGCAGGCAGGGTGCAGCCACAGAGCAGCAGCTGTGTCCCAGCCCGCGCCGGGCTGAACCAGCCACGCTTTTGTTTTGTGGCTGGAACCAAACGGTCGCTGGAAATCAAATGAGTCGCCATAAATATTAAAATCCCCTATCGCAGCTCTTCAAATATTCATCATATGGAGCAATGAATAGCAGCACCGAGATTTCCTCTAGGTGCTGCTTTTTAAAGGGTTATATTTTAGGGGAATATTATCACTTTTGGTCCCAAACTCAACAGCCATGAGGTAATAAAAAAGGACTGAAAAAGTGAAGCAGCACTCTGTGTGTTGCCTGGTGTGCTGGGACAGGAGCCAGGAGCCTGCGGGTGTCTCCTCAAATGTAATTTTTTCTTACTCACAGAAATGTGAGTGAAGAGAGCTATTGCAGCAATTCGCTGGGTTTTGTTCTCCTGTTTCACAGAGCTCCTTTCATGTTCCCCTGGCTGCCCAGGTAAATTGCTCACCTGAGCTGCTGGCTGAGCCTCCAGTCTGTGTTATTTTTAAAGGAACTGAAAAAAATCCCAATTTTATTTGATAAAAATGACATTCAGGGCTGTGTGGAGTGTGCGGAGGGTGTGAGACAAAGGTGTGAGGCAAACCTCGAGCTTCAAACCTCCAATTCCAAACCTCTAGCTCTTTGTGCAGAACAAAAGTGGTGGAAAAGTGACAAAAAGCTCGGATTTTGGACAGACAAAGCACTGGGCAGCCGGGGCTTTAATGCTGGATGCAAAACGTGCTTGCACAGCCCACGGGCATCCCTCCTGCAGGACATCCCTGCCTGCAAGCTGGAGGGGGAAGGTTGGTTCTTCTCAGTGGAGCTGCTGGGAACAATCATCCTCGGGGCTCTGCTGGTTCCTCAGCTGTGTGGGGAGTCCCAGAGGATCCATCAAACCCTCCAGTTGTGCAACTCCCGTGGAAGTCCCAGCTCTGGCTTGGGGCTGAAGTTGCTGCTGGCAGCGCTGCTGAGGGTGGGAGCTCCTCCTGCTCCCAGGACAGCTCCAGCCAAAGGCACGAGTTCCATAGGAAAAATCCCTTTGTGCCACACTGGGACACGGCAGGAGTCCTGCAGATGTGGGGAGGGGCGACTTTGGGTGAGATGGGAAAGAAAATTGCACTTCCCAGCAGCCATCGTGTTCACACACCTAGGTTTTAAAAAGTAAATGACTTCTTAAAGGTATTCTAATAATGGGGCTTAGGAAGGATCTCAGATTGAATAAAGAAAAGGCAGCAATATAAATGTTAAACTTGCCCCAAGACTCATCCCTGAGCACTTTTCCAGGGCCACAGAAAAGCTCTGTGGTGGCAAAGGTTCAGGAGAGAGGAGGGGAGTTTCCACCACTGGATCCCAATCCTGCACCCACAGCAAACAGAATCCCACTGGGAATCTGCGGGCAGGACCTGCTCTCCTGAGCTTGGGGTCTGGGCTGCAGAGCCAGGAGCAGCCTGCTCCAACCCCACGGGAGAAAATCCCCCGGGAAACCCAACTCAAATCCCTGGAAATGCTCCTTGGGGCCTCTGCCTGGTTCTTTGGGGCTCTTGCCGAGTTTCAGGGAAGGGTTTGCAGCCAGCCAGAGTGGGCTGCAGTTCCCAGACCCTCCCAAGCCCCTGGGAGGATGCTGTGAGCAGCTTGTGCTGGAAAGCTGGGGATGGAGAAAGCTGGATCAAGCTGGGGATGGAGAAAGCACATGCAGAGCTGTCCTGTGCCTGTCTCAGAGTGAACATGGAAAAGGCAGGATGGATTGTATTTGTATTTGTACCTAATAAAAACACTTTATTTCTTTCACTTCACCTTTCATCTTTGCTTTTTATATGTTTTTCATTCATCTCTGCCGAACTTGATTTTTAGAAAAATCTCTTCTCTTGCCATTTTCACACATTCTTTCTTTCCTCCACTCCTTTTGCAGCACTTATGAAAGTTCTGAATATCAGGAATGGGAAAAGAGACTTTAAAACTTCCAGCTGCTCGGGTTTAACATCCTTTAGAGGCTGCTGCTCCAGCCAGGAGAAATCTCAGCCCCGGGAAGGCGCTGGGCTGCCCAAGAGGCCCCAGTCCCAAGGAAGGCCAGGGAGCAGCAGCTGGCTTTGGTGGGGCAGCTCGGGGGGCTCCCCCAGCCCCCCGGCCCCGGCCCCACACCCACATCCTGTCTGGGCGAAGGAAAAGGGGGAGGGAAGGGATTTTATCAGATATTTCCAGAGGGAAGAGGGCTCCACCCGCTTGAATTCCTGCCACATGGCTGAGAGCTGTGGAGCTGGAAAGGCGTGAGTAATGCCGGCTGGAGTCCTTGGAGGGGCTGCTGGGGGAGCCGGGGCTGGCTCCGGCCCCAGGGCTCGGCATCCCCCAGCCCAGAGCTCCGGAGCTGCCCTCCTGCATCCCAGAGCTCCAGAGCTGCCCTCCTGCATCCCAGAGCTCCTCTCCTGCATCCCAGAGCTCCAGAGCTCCCCTCCTGCATCCCAGAGCT